CGAGACCTCCAAAAAGGGTGGCAGGCGCAGCAAAAGCGCACTTCCGAGCCCCCCGGGCCCCACCCCAGCTTTATGCTCCATACCCCCTTCATGGAGCGCCGCGACTTTTCCTGGTTATATACTGCTATCATCAACACGACCCTAAATCCAAACCAGAGAAGCCAGCCTCGGATGCACTGGACAGCCAGCTCCGAGCAAACCTAAACCCCAGAAACCCTACACCTAAACCCTAAAAACCCTCAAAACCCTAAACCTAAACCCTAAAGCCGTAAACCTAAACCCTAAAAACTAAACCCTAAAATAACCCTAAAAACCATGAATACCCTAAACCTAAACCCTAAAAACCCTCAGCCTAAACCCTAACAACCCAAAATCTAAGCCCTAACAACCCTAAACCTAAACCCTCAACAACATAAGCTCAGCTGATATCCCCAACAGCATGCGGTGCTCTTTGTAGTGCTCGCGCAACCCCGCAGACCTCGCAGAACCTCGTGGAACCCTGGTGGAACCCTGGTGGAACCCTCGTAGAACCTTAACTCAGGGCCGCCCCGGACCACCCCGGAGCCTACCTGGGCTGAGACCCCAAAGCTTTCAGCTGTTGGGGAATAAACCTAAACCCTAAAAACCTTAAACCTAAACCCGCAAACCCTAAAAACTCTAAACCTGCCAACACGATCATACAGCATAATAAGACCTTGTGGGCGACACGTATGTTTGTTGGTAACCCAATTGCACATATCAGCGGGCGCCTTTTCGTTGCCTTGCCGAGTCAAGACCCCCTGGACGCAACAGCAGAGAGAGAAAGAGAGACAGAGAGAGAGAGAGAGAGAGAGAGAGAGAAAGAGCGAGAGAGAGATAGAGTTAGAGAAAGAGAGAGAGAGAGAGAGAGAAAAAGAAGCAGAACAAACCACCAGGACAGGGGAAAAGCCACCAAGACAAGGAAGCTGTGCGACTTTTTTTTTGGCCTGTGGCTGCTTTTTCTCCAGCCTCTGACAAGTCGTGCCCGGAAGCGCCCTGCGAGGTTTGCCGCCGCATCGGCTGGGGGGTCTCCGGCTGCACCTCCGGCTGCGAGTGGGAGGCGCTGGCGCGGGAGGAGCGGAACTTCGTGGACTCTGAGGAGACCGGCGGTCGTATGTAGGGCGACGGGCGGCTGGTGGTTGAAAACCACTGGGGTCCCATTTTGGGGTTTTCGGTGAACTCATCACCCATTCTGGTTTTATTTTAGTGGGGATTGGGATGTTCACTGGGGGGAAGGGGGTTTGACCCATGGCCAGGTAGCCTTGGTGGTGCTTAGATCTGTGGCTTTTTTTTTTGGCAGCCGAAGGCGCAGGGGTTGAGGCTGAACCACTTTGTTTGTGTGTGTGTCTCCACTGAAAACCAACCACAACATGCATTTGCATCTACATATGCACATGTGTAGATAGATGTGTATATATATATATATAAACATATGTAGATGTATACATATGTATACAATTAGATATCTATGTACATTGTTTGTTTCCACTCCAACACCAACTTCTAGGTGTACATGAATGTATATGTTTGTATGTATGATTCCCTTTTGTCGGATGGAGGAGGGGATCGCCGATATGTTTCTCCATTCATCGGCTTTATCTTTTTAGATCATTCTGTGAGAATTGGAGGGAAGCAAACGTGGGACCTGAAAGAGGGTAATATTCCATTTGTCCTTGTTTTAGTTGTAGCCCTTTGATCCTTTTGGTTTCCAACTGTGGTCTATTTGTCGTGGTCCCTTTTGCCGGCAATGCGTCACGTTGGATGCCCAACACATTGGGACGGCTTGCTGGTTGGAGACAGGACTTGAGGGCTAAATGGGGGGCAGAGGGTGATCATAACAAATAAGATTGGATGCCTCCGCCCAGGAGGAGCCAGTTTGCGGCCGCTTGGCTTCTTTCCGGCTCTCGGGTGGAGATTGGGGGCGTCCACCTCACAAAACACCCGGGCCTTGTCAGCTTGGCCGGTTGTGCATAACATCCCAGGGCGCATGTGGCACGCATTCCGAAAGATTGGCAACATAGCCCTGCCACCTCCTCGGAGAAGATGATTCAGATATTAATCAGACAGTTGGGAAACTTTCTTGCGGTAGGTAGTCTTCCTGCTTCAGCCGGAGAAAACAAGAAGACCTGGGCCACTTCAACCACCACATGCGGGGGGGCCTCCCAGACATGGTCACTTTAAACCTGCAAAAACTGGCTGCTGTTCAAGGGCAATCCGCAAGATCCTTGGGTCACCAAAGGGTTTTTGCCGCCAGCAATCAAAACAAGCGTGGGCTGCGATTTGCCCTTTGATTTGGCCAAACTCCCCTCTCTCCTGGGGTTCTTATTTCCGGCAGGCAACGGCCCATAGCACTTTTGCACACTTCATCCGTTTGTACCGCTTTAGTGTTCTGTGGCTTCAACTTTTGGCATTCAAGTGCGAAGATCCAGGCCTGCCGACAGGAACCCTAGGCGGTGTTTTTTTTTTTTTTTTTTTGGGGGGGGGTATGTTTTGGAACCTCTTTGAGCTGGTCAACCGTTGCTCGGGCCCGCCCTTTCGCCTTTGGGGGCACCTTCGAGGCATCGCGGAAGCGCCCGGCGCTTTGGCCGCGGCGCAAACCGCGGAGTTCCGCCTGACGTGGCGCAACGAGAGCCGGTGGTCCAAGACACTGCTGCTGCGGCTGCAGGTGGGGTCCAGCCGAGATGCCAAGGGGGGAAAATATGGTTTTTTGGGGATCCAGAAGCTGGTTGAAGCTTATGTTCCGCGGTTTTAGAGTAGGACGGCGTTTGCAAGGCGGAGCAAAAGCAAACAGTTGTTTCGTTGCTATGCTTGGCGGGGGGCCACTCTGCTTGGGTTTTTCACCGGAAGCCCGAAGACGACTTTTGTTTCTGGCTGGGAGACGAGTTTGGTGGTATTGTTCGGCGTCAGGTGGGCGATTTGAAACTCCTAAGGACACAATGGAGATTCCATCCTGTAGAAGCCAACCTTTCGAGGTTGGTCCAAATTTGCACGCGGAAACGCACAGGTGGTGCCGGTGGGTGAGCCTGACTGGGACGAGCGGTGAAGCAAACACATGGCGGATTTGGCCCGCGCGGCGTCGGTGGAAACCATGGCGGTACCGCGCAAAGGGGAAGGACAGAAGGACCAGGCTCGGTCCATTTTAACAAGGGCGACGGTCAAGGTTGATACCCGTGTCAGGGCAATTCCAATGAAGAGTTGCTTGGGATAGGCGTGTCGTACCCGGATAGGCTGATCGCTGTTGTCAAGGGGGTTGAGGTATCTGGTGGCCCACTTGACCGTGGCTCCGGAAGGCTTTTGCCGTGCGGAGACCGCGCGGGAATGGATTGGCATGTAATTCCGGAGGATTCGGGCAGAGAAGGCAGGTGTTGCGCGTTGTCAAAGTTGGCTTTGGCGAAGTAGCTTCGTACGGCACCGAAACCCACGGCTTTTTCGGCAGAACCGCCGAGGACCAGAGGGTTGTAGCCTTTGGACGACTATTTTTGACCCTGCTGTGGATGAACCAAATCCGTTCGCGCCAGCTTGAAAACATGGGACACCAGTGTTGGTTGGTGTTTTCGCGGGGGATCATCATTCCAGGGTTCTTACGCCGGGCAGGATTTCGTACATCCACGGCGTCATGGCTATCATCCACTTTCGTCTCATCTGCCGAAGTTCTTAGTCTCCCCGCTGCCGGCTCGGCATTTAGCTTCGCCATCGCCCTGCGCACTGAATCAGTGCAGCGGCCGCTTATTTTCCACAGGCCGAGGGTTTTCGGTGGGGTGTCTTTGAGGGTACCCTTAATTTTGGATGGGCAACACAATTTAATAACACCCATCGTGTTGATTGCCAACGCTTTGGAACAAATCCACGTTTTAAAGCGACTCGACTTGCCACCGTTCTGTTTGCTCGTGGCGTCGCTTCCCAGCAGCACTTGAACGCATTTTGCGGAAGCAACCTTGGAATGAGGGCATCGATCCCGACTTTGTAATACCAAGGAACCATGCCCAAGTGAAGAATTCGTCATTGGGAAGGTCTTCCCATGGTATCGCAGGGTGAGGGCAATTCCCACCCTACCAGAACCTTACTTGGGCCTTTGCCACATTTGGGAGGAGCCTCCTGGGGGCGGGATTTTCTTCATGCATTAAACAGAACCAGGGGCATGTAAATTTTAATGGGGCGAGAGTATTCATCCATGCCCAGTTCAATGCAGATCGGGCCCCCTGAGTGAGAACCCTACCCCCTGGAGGGGGCAAAAACAAAAAAACACCAATGTTGAGTACCCCAACGCAGTGGCACCCTTTATTTGCACAGCACAACTCTCGGGAAGCGAATTGGAGCCCTACAGGGCGCCGTTCGGGCCAATGCGGCATCTGGGCACCTGCACGCCTGCGCGGAGCTGTAGGCACTTCCACACGTGCGCGTGCAAAGCTCAAAAGAATGCAGCGCAAAAGCGGCCGGGGCGGATTGCCTACATATTTATATATAGTATATGTTTTAAAGGGGGGCTCTTTGTGGGGTTGATTCGAACGGAAAGACTTGCAAGTGGTAGGGGTCTGAATCCCTTTGACAAATGTTCATGTCCATTTTTTTTGGATTCAACATCACCAGCGCATCCATTTCGTGGAGTTTCCCTTTGGTCTGACAGGTCGAAAGTACCGTTGGGACCCTTGGCCAGCGGGAGGCCCAAACGAGTTTCAAACTCGTAGCGAGTTTCCCAGATTGCAGCTGGAGCCACTGACGTATCCGCAAATTTGGGCATATGTGGGCTTCGAGATCCAAATGATGGCTGTTGGGAATGGAAGAAGTCACAGCCGTAGAATCGTGTTGGTTCTGCGTGGGACCATTTTTTCCGGGGTTGATTTAGAGGGGAAACCAAAAAAGGGAGGGGCTTCCCCTATTTGAAGACCCACCCAGATGTACGGCACGTTCAACAAGTCCCCTACTTTGGGTGTCCATTTTTGGGATCCCTTGTTTGAAGACAAAGCCACATCCCATGAGCAGAGGTCTGGGTTCTGCAGCAACCCATCAACTTCGCCGGCACGCCAGAGGCACATGGCCTGTGGCCTTCGGCGTTCGGCAGGGTAGGCTCGTAGTTTCCCATCGCTGACGGTTCCATGCTGCTTCGGATGAAATCTCTAAAAAGGGGCAGCATTGGCAGGGCCCCCAAACGCATGTTTCCTTGACCTGGGGGCAGTACAGTAGCACCCATCCATTAGCGCCCTACGTGGGCCTGAGCAACTTCGGATTGATCCGGCGAACCCTGTTAGGCAAAGGGCCCACAAAGGTCGATCTTTTTTCCAAAGTCCGGTGCAAGGTGGACCTAGGCTGAGAAACGGATTCTCTTTCATTGGGAGCCGACGCCCGGGTTTGGTCTACCTGAGTCAAAAATGCAACCCCTATTAACCCCCATCCCCGCCCGAAAAAGAACATACACATATCATAACCCCCCTCCCACCAACAACTTGGGGAAGAGTAAGGGCCAAAGTTGAAGGTGTTGCCCAGAAATAGATCCATCAAGTGTGCCCTGTGAGTTATTGCCGCGCGGGAATATCCTCAATGCCAGCTGCAGGCAGGCTGCTTTTGTAGATGCCCTGGCAATTCAGTTTCACATAGCACCCAGCAAGGGGATCTCCCAAAATAGATTCCTCTTCGCAGAGGGGTGTTTGGGGGCCCCATGTTAGACTGCACCGGGTGTTGCTTTTATTGCGGACCTTTCCAAAAACTCCTGGAGGCGAGCATCTAGTAACATACTCCTGGAGTGGCCCCTGGATTTTGCGCCAGGAGGTGGCCTTGATGACTTCAGCCCTGTCCTTTTTGTAGCCGGCCAAAAAGCGGGGCAGACCGCAAGGCCGAAACCAAACAATCTATGGCACCGGCCCATCCTTGGGAAGCCTTAGCAGCGAAACGCAGCAGCGGAGCGTGAACGCGCAGGCAGGCCAAGCACAGCTGGACTCCTTCTTGACGATCCAGGAGGGATTGACCTATCGGGATCAAGCGCAGATTGGGGTTGGTGGTGTCGATATTGAGACCACCTCTTCCATGTTTCTGGCTTGACACTTCTTCATGTGGCGCCGCCTTCCGCTCTTACAACTTGCTTCTTTCTGATCTTCTCCGCTTTTGTTGAAGCTCTTAACTGAGGCTCCTTTAACCGCTCTTCCTTCATGTTTTGGCTCCTAAGGCTTCCCTCTTTCCTCCTCGCGGTGCTTTTCGTCCCCGACCTGCTTGTCTCTTTGCTGTCTCCGCTCTGCTCCCTAGCTCTAACCACCATGTTCTTTTGGGGGTTCAATGTTAACCTGCGCGAGGATACCTTGTTTTTGTTTCTGTGCCCGTGCTTCTCCTGACTTTTCTCTTTGCTCCTCTCTTAGCCTGTCTGCCTGCTCTTCTTCCCTCTCTTTTTCTCAGCTCTTCTCTCCGCCCCTTTCTTCGTTCTTTCTCTGCCTTTGCTCGCTGCCCTTCTCTCCACTCATCTCCCTACTCTCCTCTCTCCCTTCGTTTGACTTGTGCCCACTTTTGTTTAAACAACACACTATGTAAAAAATAAGCTCAGGTGATATCCCCAACAGCATTTTTTTGCCAGGGCATCCTTTTGCTGTTGGGGATGCGGTGCTCTTTTTAGTGCTCGCACCACCCCGCAGCCCTCGCAGAACCTCGTGAACCCTCGTGGAACCCTCGTGGAACCCTGGTGGAACCCTGGTGGAACCTTGGTGGAACCTTACCACAGGGCCGCCCCGGACCACCCGGGAGCCTATCTGGGCTGAGACCCCGAAGCTTTCAGCTGTTGGGGAAAAACACAGAAAACAATATGTATTATACATATATATATATATATATATCCATCTCCCCTCCTGCTCCCAATATCCTGGAGGCCTTCCTTCCCCTCTCGCGAGGACAAGGCCCGCGAGCGGGTGCGCGAATCCTTCCGGCACCTGATCCACGAGGCTCGGAAAGGTTGCGGGATGAAGGACCCTACAGGGATAGTTCCCCTTTAGCAAGTCGGGAAATTGTCCGTTTTATGGAGGTCCTCTGAGTAGTAGGGTTTTTTTCGGATGAATTTTCGAGGTTGACATTCGTGTGGATGGACAAAGTTCTGCACCTGGCATGGGAAACCCTACGACTTGCGGGCGCAAGGGAACCGCAGGTGCCTTCTGCCACCCACGATGCCCGGCAGTGGCCTAAGCTGGATCAGCTGGCTGACGAGGAGAATGCGCCGCGCACGTGGGTGGGGTGCCATAGGAAAGGAGAGTGGCGACCAATAGTGACGAGGGGCCATAACATTCCTGTTGCACAAACGTGCCGTGCCCCCCCCCCCCCCACCCACCTTTTTCACCACTTTAGATGTCTGGGAGGGTGTCTACAAATGTTGCAGCCAACCTGACCGATTTTTCAAACTCTAGGGGGTACAACAAAAGTACCCCAGCCCCGGGCGCACCCGAAACTTCAGAAGCCATCTTTTGAATTCCAGGAACTTTTTGGGAGTCTGACTATTTGGGGTCCTTGTGATTTTGCGGGGGGATTTCCTACTTGGGACTACAGGGTGACGTAGCAACACGGACTACATCATGCCCAAAAGTCCCCCCCTCAAAAAAGCGACACCCACATGACCTTGTTGTGGGCAGTGGGGTTCTTTCTGTGAATCTAGATGCATACGTTGTATCATGTGTTATGCCTAGATTTCCCCGCGTAGCCATGTCACCCAGCCCCCCCGAAAGTCACCTCCTGGCCATCTTTGGCTGAGGAGCTGCTGCCGGAGTACTTGCAGGCCACCTCGGGGCTGCGAGAGCTGCTGCAGCCTGCCCGGACGGGCGACGGTCTGGGGGCGGCTTTTGGGCGCCTGAAAAAAGGAAGCCAACCGGGGGTAAGCGAAGAGGCATGAGTAGTCTCCTTCCGTTGCGCTGGGAAGGCAATCTTTCTTCCGAAAAAAATGCGAATCAGGGAAGCGGAAACAAAAAACCCTCGCAAGAGAAGGACAAGAAGTCCTCCCTCGCTCCAACAATATCCCCAAGGGCCCAACTGGGCGACTGAGGAGACCCCTTAGCGAGCCAAGGTCCAATGAGCTGCAACATGCTCGGCCGATGCAGGCCAGTCTCGGGGTCTCGCGCGAAGGGAGGAGCTAGTGTCGGTTTGGTGTCCTTTGAGTTCAGTTTGCTTGAACATGACCACTTCCATTCCTGGAACGTGGGCAACAAACATGTTGAGCCTGGAAACGCAACCGGAAGTATTCTTTGGCCTGTGTTCGCTTTCTTTTCGTCATCCAAGGCCGCCGCTACAGGGGACTTCGTCCCGCAGCACAGAACCCTCTCTTTTTTTCCGGGGTCCCCGGTTTCTTTTCGTTCCCAGCGGGCTAAAATGATGTTATTTGTTCAGGGTGTTGAACAAGGGGGTTCTCACTTCCTAAGCGGTTTGGCCCAAAAGAGGCCGTGCTTTTTTTTCTAAACCACTGAGCTGGTTTTGGTCTCATTTCGCCGTTTGCCGCCCGGCCGTGAGTGAATCAGGCGGCCAGCATCGCGGCGCATCTGCGGATGTATGTGGACCTGGTGCAGAGCGACCACTTCAGCATCTCCTTGGCTTGGACCTGAGCTGCCGTTGGTCGCTCGGGTTTTTCAGATTCACACTCTTACTCCTATTGCTGTAAGGCTGACTCATGTACGTAGGTCTGCAGCGTAAAGTGACAATGCGAGGAACTGAACGGATGTGAGAAAGGCAATGTGTGTATGTACTGGAATCTCATGTTGATTCATGGCAACGTATAATGTAATGTGTTGTAATGTAGTCTATGGTTTTCACGGTGTTCACTAGGTGTGCGCATGCACACGCGTGAATTTGCCTACGCGCATGTACAAAAATGTGTGAACTATCAGAACCGCATGTAGAGCACGCTTGATTTGCATCCAAGCTTGCTGTGGATGGACGAAATCCTGCACCATTTTAAAACTATGGGAAGCCATTGTTTGTTGGTATTTACAGGGGAATCATCGTTCCAAGGTTTCTTACTTGCAGGATTTGGTCCATCCACGGCAGCGTGTGCTTGCTTTGCTTCTTATATATATATATATATATTTATTGCTATATCCCCCCCCCCCCAAAAAAAAAAAAAAAAGAAAAAAAAGAAAGGCGGCACCAGGGAAACCGCCCCGTGCGACAGGCCCGAGAGGCCTTCGAGGACAGCCACGCAGCGCAGCTCTGCGAAGCCTTCGGGGCGGCGGCACAGGCCTGCGGTCCGAACGCGGCGGGAGCGGTTTGGGGCGGCGGTGGCCGGTGGATGAAACTGGGTATGGGTCAAAATCAATCCACCAGGAGACCGCGGGTTTTAGTCCACATTTCCATTTGCCAGGGTTTCATTTTGGGCACTTATTTTTGACCCACAGCCAACTGACAGATGTTGACCCCGGATGACTTGAACCCTGCCTTTTAGTAGGGGGTGGAGAAAAGCCGCCAAAAGGGATGCGCCAGAAACAACCAGGGGCATACCCCAGAAATCGAGGTTCGGTTGGCAGGAGCTGGTTTTGGAGTTTTCCATGCAGGTTTCAGCAATAGGTGAGTCGTGCTCATGCCAAGGCTGGGGTGCGTCTCAGTAGCCAAGAGGGCTATGCAAATCAAAAAGGGAGTTGTCCATGCACCACTCCATAAGCATCCCGAGTTTAGGCGTTAGCCTTGTCAAGGACATTGCAGATGTTTGTCCAGACCAACTCCAAATCTACATGGATTTGGCTCAGTTTTGTTGTGCGGGTATTTTTGGGTGAGTCTTTGCGGGGAGAAGCCCTGTCTGCAAGGGGATCGTGGAATGAAATATGCAACCAGTCGGCATCCCGAACACAGGTGTACAGCACGTGCAAGAGCAGCCAGCATGAGACACCGGAGCCTGATTGAGTCAGTTGGGTGAGTCTTGATTTGCTTAAGGTGCATTGTTGTGTTTCTGTGATGGGTTTCAAGAGGCAACGTGTTACGGCTGAGCATTTGTGATCATTGTTTTCATGTGTTGGCTAGTTATCAGTTATATTTCTCGTGATGGTGGCGGCCATGTGTTGGTTGCGTATGCAAATCCTCATGGCTATGTTTTGTTTTTCCTTTTCTTTTCGCGGCACCTTACCCTCCCTCTACTTACCAATTATTGTGCCAAGCTTTCCTTGATGTTAAAGGGCGTAAGCCCCAAGTTGTTGGAATAGAGGGAATCTGAGCACAGCTTTTTTGGCTGTACGGGCATCCAAGATGGTTTCCGCTACTCTCAACCCCCCAAAAAGTTGGGAGAAGCAAGCGCAAGGCAGTGCTTATCCAGTGGTTTCCGGGTGGTTTGGTCGGGCGCTTGCGCCATCGAGCGGCCTCGCTTTGGAATCGGCCCGCGGGCCGCCCCAAACGACGCGAGGACTTGGCGGGGGAGATGCCCTGCGGGAACCTCTCCAGCGCGCTGGATGCCGCGGAGCTGGCGATCCAAGAGCGCCAGGAGGCGGTGATGAAGGACGGGGCCGGGGAATTTGCAGTGGACGGGTTGAATCCATGTCGCGCCACTTTGAAACCACGGGAAAGCAGTGGTCCTTGGCATTTTGCGGAGGAAATTTCATGCTTCCAGGGTTTTTTGGGCAGGATTTGGTCCATCCACAGTAGGTAATATGACTTTTTTTCGCATCTTCACCAAGTGACCCCAAGACCCCTTGGTCATTGAATCATGTGAGTCACAATCAAACCCCGGGTGATTGGAGGTTAGCAAGGGACAGGCCATAAACAGGTTCTGGGTTAACCATTTTTGTACCGGGTTTTGATTCTGACTCATGTGCTTCTCCTTTTCTCTTGTGGATAAGACGTATGGCCCGATGTCCGAGGACTTCCACCTGGACCAGGCCTTCCTCAGCCGGCTGAAGCAGTGCTTCCAGCGGAAGCGCCAGGAGCTTGAGCTCATCAACCAGGAGCTGGCCGACTCCTCGGCTCGGATGCGGGAGGGGAGTGTTGGGTCGTAGCACGGCCAGAAGCTCGGGGCCCGGTCATATGTTTTTTTGGTGCGTTTTGGAGATTTCGTGCACTTTGGGGGGATTGTTTGGAAGGGAAACTGAAGGGGAAGCCAATTTGGGGGTCCCCTGTTGGAACACACTCACGCACGCACACACAGCTGGGCTTCCCATTCTCACCCAAACTTTGTGCAACATTTCAGTTGGACAACCTCCAAAAGAGGGGGCCCCTCAAACTGTAAAGTAATCATGACTTTTCTTTGGAATCCAGCCATCAGCCAGGCCACAACGAGATTTTCAACCGCACAGAATGAAGTAGATGGCCCAATTCCCAAAAGCACAATGGATGGCCAAACCCAAAAATGGGAACTGGGCAATTTTCTTGCACCCAGCTGTTGGGGGTTGGAGCCTGCGAGCCAGTCCACGAACATGAACGGCCCACCAGCTGGGAGGGCCCGAATTTCGGCTGCGAGCAAAAGCAAATTGGCTCAACCCCCCCCTTTTTGTTGCTTCAACTCTGCCAGACCCCCGGTACTGAGAGCAAAATCTTTAGGGATACTGAAGGCAAAAGGCGTAAATTCAGCCTACCTGTGGCTGTTTCTGCTTTGGGAGTTTGCGGGGGTTTGGTCTTTGACATAAGCCTGGATGCAGGGAGGCTTTACCCCAGGTCCTCGCAGAGTGGGAGAAGGAGGTGCAGCAGGCCGTAGCTTGGACGGCAACAAGACCTCGGCACTTGGAAGGTTTTCAGGTCCAGGAAAGCCACTCATTTTGGCAAAGGCCAATATGGACCCCTCTTGTGCTGCCTTTGAAAGGGGACGCAACAAAGTCCCCTAATGTTGACCCCGCCAAAGCCGTTTTTGGCTGGAAGGGAAACTGACATAAGTTTGCACTATAGAATTTTCTAATATGGACCCAACTGACAATACGTACGTACATACATGTGTGCATGAATGCATACCTACCTACCTACCTACCTGCATGCATGCATGCATACATACATACATACATACATACATACACACATACAAACATGCAAACATACAAACAAACAATCAAGCATACAAACATACAAACGTGCAACCATTCAAACATACAAACATACAAACATACATGTTTGCATACATACATAACATAACACAACACAACACAACACAACACAACACAACACAACACAACACAACACAACACAACACAGCACAACACAACATAACATAACAACACACACACACACATACATGCATGTATGCATACATACCTACCTACCTACCTAGCTACATACATACATACATAAAAACATGCATGCATGCATGTATGCATGCATGCATACATACATACATACATACATACATACATACATACATACATACACAAACACACATACACACATACACACATACACACATAAATGCATACATGGGTAGATGCATAGATAGATGGATAAATAGATAGATAGATAGATGATACATAGATATATAAAATATAGATGCATACACAGGCAGACAGAC